ACTTGCATATGTATCTGAATAATAATCTTTTTCTTTCTCACCCCACCCCCACCACCAACAACACAATATGGAATACTAATTTAGCCCCCTTTGAATGGGAATCTGAATTTATTTTAATATGTTATGATTTATTATCTGTCATAGCTTTTGTATTGGTGAATACATTTGTGAAAAAAACAAACTTATTTTAAAAATTTTATATATTTTTCTTTGAATCCTGTTTCCTGGCTGTTTACAAGATTTATTTTAATTTTTTTTTTTTTTTTAAATTGGAGAACAATTTTTATTTTAATTGGTACTTATACGTGGAAGTGTTTTTGACAGGGGGCCATTTTACGTGTAGGCCTACGTTTATAACGCTTTAGAATTATTATTATTTTTTTTTTTACGGAATACACAACAACCCGAGCAACGCCGGGTATATTGGCTAGTGTCCTATAAACTGCTAAGGTCTTTTTCTTTTTCCGGGTGCTGGAGAGAGAAAAAAAATCCGTATTTTTTTATGAGCTATGAACTAATATACCGGCATCAATAGGGCAGGTCTAACTCTCCGAATCGCCCTTTAAATTATGTTCAGTAAATGTTAGTTAGGAATGCCTGAAGCGTTTGATGAAAGGGAGGGGAGAGCGAAAGGTAAATAGATTCTGATTTTAAAACTTGAATTTCTGAATAGCTTTTTTTATATATAGATATTCTGTAAAAAAACAAAATATTACCGTTGAACAAGATATTTATTGACTTGGCAAACTAACCAAGTTAACATTATGGTATACTCGCACATTTTTTGGTTTAAAAATTTAACATGGGCAGGTAACCATTTCTAAATATTAGCAGAAGCAAATGTGCTAGCTGCTAGCCTGTCTGGTTTGGTATGTTTATTTTCCTCCTCTGCTATATATATATATTTATATGATTGCGTTTCGGAGGCAGTAACCCGAGAAATTCGACTCTTTGAAGCCCCCGATTTATAATTTTTTTTTAAAATGCGAATCTTATAGTTATGTTAAAATGTAAATGCTCTAAAGCAGTGGTTCTTAACCTTTTTGGAGGTACCGAACCCCAGGCCCATTCACCGAATCCTTCTTAATAGGAAAAATAAAATATATTTTTTTTTTCTGATTTTCTTTGGACCTCCGCCAACCCCTGAGACTGACTCACCGAAGCCCTGGGGTTCGATCGAACCCAGGTTAAGAACCACTGCTCTAAAGAAAAAAGAATTTAAAAAAAATAAAATAATAATAAATAAATAATTTAAAAAATGGAAAAAATAGCAATGTTACGTCATTTAAGTAAGAATAATGTCCTACCTTTTATTTTTTAAAAATGCATTTCGGAGGTAGAATGGGTCTAAATTAAATATCTTTCTTCATCAGTCGACGGCTTAACTTATATCAAAGTAGGACATTCATAATTATCATTCCTCCCCTTTTCATAAGCTCATCCAGAACGAGGTACATTTAAAAGTCGAGGCTACTCCATGTACGCTAGACAAAAATCTCAACCCCCCCCCCCCTCCTACCCAACTCCTTTCTTTTACTTTCACACACACACACACACACACACAATTTATATCAAAGGAGGAAATTCATAATTATCATTCCTCTCCTTTTGATAAGCTCATCCAGAAAGAGGTACATTTAAAAGTCGAGGCTACTCCATGTACGCTAGACAAAAATCTCAACCCCCCCCCCCCTCCTAACCAACTCCTTTCTTTTACTTTCACACACACACACACACACACACAAAACACGTTCCTCAGCCATGGCAATAAATAATTGTGTGATAAGAATAACTTGACACCGCTTTGACAGGATAGTCATGTGAGGTGACTATGCTATGGACCATGATGGGCATTGACTTTTTGTTAAGACGTCTTTAGATTATTGAGGGTGTGGGAATGTGGTGTGGTGTTCATTTTTTTTTTTTTTTTTAATTTTTTGGGGGGGCGCAGGTGGGAAGAAGTATGCTTATTCTGATAAATTTATTACATTTTAAAAGTTAGGCCTGCTGGTTAACTATTTGTTAAAATAACACATCACAATAAATTAATCCTGATGTGGCCCTAGATATAATACCAGAAAGTCCACGTTAAATTACGAAGTGAATGTCATAGAATATATTTAGATATTGTTTATTTATTTATTTTAATTGTTAAAATAAACTTATCTACAAACATTCGTAAAAATATTTTAACGTGATAAGCCATCAACATCACCTGTATGGAAGTGTATGTACAAGCAAGGATCGATTTTTTAAAAAAAAGAAGACTTTTGCTATACCTAAACGATCCCCTTATCTGTGAGTGTATTTCGCTTCCCTACAAGTAAGCTATTTTGTAACAACTTAGGCAAATAACTATGCCGCACAATTTTTTCCATATAGGATTACTACTATTACGGCCCGCCTTACATTTTGGGTTGTGCAGGCCTGATTTAGAAGATTGGGTGCGCCCTGACATTATGCATAAAAATGTTCAAAAAGTGGCGATAGCAAAGTTGTGAAGTCATGTTGGGACGTTGAATGTATCCCTTTAATTCTTTCTGCGCGGGATTGACGAACTTGAGACATCAGTCATGGCGACTACCAGGAACGATATCATCGCCCGTCTCAACAGTACGGGGATACTCTTCCTAGGTCCCCAATGTCAGCCTGCATACGGCAACTGGCTCGATGACATCGCTGGCCCACATGGTTCAGTTTTGCTAGGGTTATATTTAACGTTTATGAGCTGATGGCGACCGAAAAGGTTTCAACTCGGAGAATACAGAGCTGAGCAGCGTCGAGACCCTAAGCGAAAGCTTGTTGAAAGTTTTGCAAACCTATAACTATAAGGGGAACGTTCAAAACTTCAGACGTTTCTGGTCATGATCGACAGTCCGTTAGCCGGGTTGGAAAAGCCGATGAAGGCATAATATGCCGATGCTTGCAAAACATGCGGATTTCTCTCGGGGGCTAACGTCATTGAGCAGTGGGCAGATCGATGCCAAAGCTGAGAATCTGGTAGACAGGTGACTTGGAGGACACACTGGCAACCGAACTGATACAATTTACTGCATTTATGCGCACCCAGAAACCGGCGACTGTGAGCGAATCAGCAGAGCTTACCATTGCACGGGCTTTTGTCGTCTTTAATTTTTTTTCTATCATACATTTAAAGACGCCGAGATTGCGCATCTATCTGCGCATGATGGTGTCCGATTGCTCCGACGAGCGCAGCATCTCAAAGTTGGGAATAGTCAAAGGAGAGCTTCGGGCCTTATTGTTGACAAGAAAGGCTCCGCCTGCTGGCGCGTATGAGCTACTGCGCAGCAATGAGTTCACTGACACGAGCAAAGAATCCACGTTTGCCAAGGCCAAACTAAGTAAGCAGCACTACTTAACACTTTTATACAGTGTGATAGTGAAATACTTAAAGCACAAAACCCAGAGGAAATGAGAAACCCTGGAGCCCCTATATCCTCCAACCCATGGTTATTTTGTTACAAAGTCTCATGTACATGAAATGAGAGAACTCCTCACCCCCCCCCCCCCCACCAAAAAAAAAAAAAAAAATTTTGTTACAAAGTCTCATGTACATGAAATGAGAGAACTCCCCACCCCCCCCCCCCACACAAGTAAATAAATGAAATATATGGATCTAATGGGGCATACCAATGCATGCCGCTTTCTGTTACATAGAATATACACACAATGAAACCTTCACAAATGCCAATCTTATTTCTTTTTATATTGATCCATGAAATAATTCATCTATGATTCCATTTTCTCATTCTGATCGTTGAACGCTGGGAAATTACAATTTGTATTTAAAAAAAAAAAATACACACACAAGCTCCGAAAATGTTGATCATTCTATAATTAGGAAGATCAATTTTTTTGGTATAAAAAATGTCCCAGTGAGACTCGTGAATTTTGTTAATAACATTCCATCAGTATACCCCCCCCCCCCCCCAAAAAAAAAAAAAAAAAAAAAAATCCTTTTCCATTGTAGCACTAGTGTAGCTGCTTCCACTTAAAACACTAGTTACAGCTGGCAAACTAGGGAAAATATTCTGGCTAAGTCCACATTTTCATTTCAGTTTTGATCCCCTTATTCAAGTCCCCTGCCGTCACCTGTCCCAAAAGATTATGGGCGCCTTCAATCTAATCTATCGGGCAGATCCCTGAAAATAAGGGAAGAGAATTAGTCCCCATTACTGCGCGATTGAAGGCAAGGGAAGCAACTGTGAACATCTCAGTGCTACTTAATCACCAGAAGTGCCTTTTACTTTTACATCTTGTAAAAAAAGTTTCTCAGATAAAAATCAATAACATCAGTGGGTCCGAATGTTTGCCTAACACCAAAAGGAAGAAAAAAAAAAAGTTTTTACTCGTTTCTCTTAAGCTCGTTAGGGGTACAGGAAACAGCAAGCAACTCGGGCAGATAGAAATAGATGAGTTTACCTATATTGATATATTGGAATAAATGAAGTAGAAACTACACATTATAGGTGATCATCTTCTTGGATTTAAAAAAAAAAATAATTGCTTAATAAACAAAATAAAGTTTTCAAATATTTGCCAAGTGGTGATCAACTGCCAGTTTGATGAAATTTATTTCCAACGCTTATGTTATTTTTATTACAATGTCCCTAAACAAGCCAGTCTCTGTGAAGATGTGGTTGGAGATATTCCATTTGTGAGATTTCTATGAAAGTTATGAAAGCTTATATTTTTATGAGATTCAAGGTTGGTCAAGTTTTTTTTTTTTTCTTTTTAAATAAGGGCGAAACCTACATATATAAAGCATACTTATAAAACAGTGAGGGCCAAATGCTGAACTGATCTTTACGTTTCCTGGACCGCTGACTTGATAAGAGCTTGGTGCCTTCCTTGAAAGAGTCTAAAGTCACATTTCTTTTATTCATGTTTTTGTAAAATACTTTCAAATCCCTTTTCACTAATGAAATTTAAATAAGCTTTTCTATTAAAATTAAAAGGAATTGTCATAGTGTAGCAATTGACTATTATTACTATTATCTTTATTTTATCTTAGCCTTTCATGCGTTTTACTTTCACATTATCTGCCCTTTTCTTTACTTTTTGGAGGGGATGCCCAGTCTTGAACAGACAGTTACAACAAACATGCTCAAGTCAACAAGAATAACCAAGCAATGTTTAGATGAATGTTTATATTTTAGACATAATTTTTCAAATTTGATTATAACAAAAGAAACAAATTTTAAAGAAACTACACATTATTTGTAAACCAGTGAACAAGCACAATAAGCACCATGGTGCACTAACATACAACAATATGGTACGATACGGACAGTTAAACCACACTAAATCCTATAACCGTAGCATCCCCAGAACATGAACACATATTTGCACACACCACATGCTTTACAGTACAACATAAGACACCAACAGCATAGTTTAATGGAAACTAAAACAGTTTATAATAGTTATAGACGGGCGAGAATCAGGCCAAGAGTTTTGCCCTGGAAGTGTAGGCAAACCACCAAACCACAATAGCTGTAATGGCAGCAACAAACTCTGTCTGAACAATGGAGCCAGTCCAGATACCCTGCAAACAAAGGAAACAAGTCATGAATCTGAGCAGTCGCTGAGCAAATGTGGCTTGTACAAACAGCTAACACCATTAGCAAGATGATTATCACCGATCATTAAAACCCATAGATACAAAAAAAAATTAAACTATGTTACCAATTACATATTAATTTTTTAATTATTATTCAACTTAAATAATGTTAATGATGTAAGTACCGTGATGAAAGTGGGGGAAAAAATATTTAGGATAATTTAAGTTTTAAATTTACCGGTACTTTTTTAACATGTTTAAATTTATGTACACTTTGTTTTAAATATTTGCTGTACTATGATGCAAACAGGAAATGAAAGAAACCAAGAAGAGTAAGGGAGACAACCATGAAGCTAAATCTATAAGCAGAATAATTAACATTGTCAAAGATCTCTCTGTATTTGTTTATTTGAATATAAATCTACGTAGTAAAGTTTACAAGAAAGTAGAAAGTGGGCTTATATCTGCTGGATCTAGCCACTGAATACTCACAGGATGGTTCAAAGTAAGGGTAAACAGTGGCTTCAAAGCCTCCGTGCTTTCACCACTGCGTTGGGCCTATAAAAAAATAATATAAAATTAATTAACAAAAAAAAAACCCTGTAATTTTCAACTACTTCATAAAATGAACACAAAGCAAGTCTTAACTCATTCCGTAGGGGGGATGTTTTTCTGCACATAATTTAAATTCCTGAACAATTGTTATTTGCATTTGTAAAATCTTATTTCTAGCTTGCTGAATATTATCTAATATTAACAAATTAAGGATAAATGCCAGATATGGATTCAGAAGTAGCTTTAAGAAAAATATAAGACTAATGGCGAAAAAAAATGGTCTAGATTATGGCGCATGACACTAAAGCACACATAGATTGAAAGCGAAACAAGATAAAAACTTTTAAAAAAAAAATACTGAAATTATACAGAATCACACCACCACCGGAAGTCTTCAGGGACGCATAATTTTGTTGCTATTTTTAAATAAAAATGTGAGAGGTGCTTCAGGGCATGCCCATGACTCGTCTGTCGGAAACCCCCGGAGGAAGAATTTAGTCCCAACCACAGTGAATGAGTTATGTGGTTAGTCAAACTTTTAGTTCATCTAGTAACCTTTTCAATAATTTCTTATTTCCCTTTTCAGCATTTCAATTACATCTCAAGTCCCATAGGAGCTTTGGAGGAAGAATATATTGAATTCATACCATACAAAACTGGCATAGAAAAGACAAGGTCACAACAAGACTGCCACTCAATATTTTACCTTTCTTAAAGAAGCGAATCCTTCTTCATCAAATACTCTAACTTCATAATTCCCTGAAGGTAACTTCTTGTGCTCATCAGATATGCTGATCTAAAAATTAAAAAAAACAACAGAATTATTTGAAAAATTTCAATACCGGTACGTGATAAATGGTGTCAATCATTTATGTTTTAAATCTTAAAACATACAGAAAACTTATTTTGATCCTTAAATTATATAAATTTTAAAAAAATTTAAAATAACATCAAAAGGCCTAGTAGTTTTCAATTTAGAAGATATTGCCTCATACATTTTTATACATGCTTAAAATTATATAAAATTGTAAGAAAACAAATATATGATTGTAACCATTCAACCATCATGAAAAGCTGAATTTCTGCATTTGATACAACAACTAAACAAGGCAGTTACAGTTCATAATGGCACATTACTAGTCTAAGCACAACGGACGATGACTGACAGAATAAATTTAAGCAATTTGTATCACCAGCTCTTGATGGAATTTAAAATTTTGAAAAAGTTTTTTGTTGATATCGCTTTTATAAATAATGATGAATTATGGTGGTTCATAATAATTATCTTTTGCCTAAAAAGTCAACTGTGCTGAAGCTTAAAAGTCACCTGATATTTATTGGGTTCTGTTGTTTTTGTTGCTGGAATCAAGCGCCCTAGGACATCTGCATACAAATTAATATTCTGGGGGAAAAAACAAATAAGGAGGTTAAGATTGGCTTTTTTTGGCAAACAAATTATTGGTTTTTGAAATTGTATTTTAAACTGATTTTTGGTTTTATCTGCCTTCACAATAGTTCCTACAGTACTCGATTAGCAGGCTGTATAACCACATGCCGGGCAGTGAGAACTTCTTTGATGAAAATGCAATATATTATATGATTTGGCCATTTGTCTAGGAAAAAAAGATTTTCAATGTAAAACATCAACAAGTATGATAGAAATGTATGCGTTACTTTCATTATAGATTGTTGAAGAACTAAAAACATTTTGACTTATTTTCTTATTTAAATGTTTAAAAATTTCTATATTATTATTCAGAAAACAAAAAGTGACATATATTCATAATATTGCCATTAGTTTATTTTGATTATGTAAATTATTAAACTTATTCCCTCTGACTTTACCAGCTTCCGGCTTATATAAACAAAGGGCAATAGGACTATATTTGTCTTTTGTTTTAAATTGCTAAACTAAATATAAATAATTGTATCATAATTGAGACAAATGCGTCCAGAAATGGATTAGGTTTAAGAAAAATATGACTATAATGGCAAAAAAATTAAGAGCAATGAAAAATAATGCAATGTTTGGCAACTTGTTAAATTGTTCAGCTATAAGATGTACTGTACTAAGCATTATATAGATTAAAACAAAACCACCTCAAAACTTTGTTTTTGCTGAAATCAAGCCATGCACGAAAGCCTTCAGATGGGGTAGGAGGCCATCCAGTACATGATTTTGTTGTTCCTTTTAAATAATTAAAATTTAGAGGGGTATGTCATAATCAGTTCTGCTGCAATTCCCTAAAGACAGTTTTTTTATTTGGCTACAATTGTCAGCAATGAGTCGGCAAACCTAAATTTCAAAATTGTGACAAGTAATAGTATGACAAGTAGTCTAATTCTTTCAACAATTTCAAAAGATTGAATATAATTGTAACACTGACTGTAGCAAAATTAATAATAATACATTTGTGTTATGTTTTACAAACCTTTAAAAGATTTTTGCAGTTGACTGTGAACTCTACAATTAAGACTGTTTCAGTGGAAACGATAGCTTCTGGAGTTGAGTATGTTTGGGACTTGATTTGTGGCGCCAAACAAGTATCTCCTACACAAAAATTTAGTAAAACAAACCATTAAATTAATTAAATATCTATAATTTCAAGTTTGTAAAATTGTAGGGCTTAATTTTTTTTTTTTAATTTTACTCATTTTCACTTGGGTCTCTAGGACGATTCCCTAATTTAATCACAGTGTGATTCAAACTAAGTTAGTAGCCTAAATTACTCACATTAGTTGAGAAACATTCATTCAATTCAAGTTTCATCAATTCAATATGAATGAAAATCAGTTAAAAGCCTGGCCTACAGTACAGTATCACAGGGTTAAATTAACTTAAATCAGGGTAGATTAGGCAAAGGCCCTACATTGTCTATTTATATATTTATATCTATTTAGACGTGGGTGGTTTTCAGTTAATTAGTTAATTCTTGTCCACCCCATTTAGCCTGCATTAACTCTTGGAGTGTCTTGACTTTCTTCATCTTGCTGTCCTCTCCTACACTTGCTATTATTAGTTATTAGTATTAATTATTCTACACTACACTTACACTACGACTAAATGACACTCATTGCAGCTTCAGCTACATTACAAAGCTAAGCCTAAGTGTTTAGGTCTATTTTATATTGATTATTGAATGAATTTACTGTTGTGGTTGTTTGTTCACTGGAAAATGTCAATAAATTCAATAAAGTAATAGTCATTGTCATGTTGCATCCTTTTTTTTTAAAGGTTTTGCCATACTTTGTTTCGCTCATTTCATTTTTAATCATTTTACCTAACCTGCTTGCAGACTCTTACCCTTATTATTAGTCTAATACTAATAATTCCATTTTCTAAAACTTAAACGTGGCAAGGTGTAGATCTGACTCAACTTTGGTCTGGCTGTTATTACTATTACTGCCATAAAAATGTATGTTCAGATTTTACATTCTAAGTAAATAAAACTATGCGCATACAAACAGTAAAGTAATTGGATAGTTTTTTATTGTTTAATTTTACCATTTGTAAGAATGGGCAACAAACATAAGCCGATGATCACTAGTACTTTGCCGGTAGCTGCCATTGTTTCATATGTGACGTTGAAAGGAGAAGAAAGCCAAGGGAGATAAAAAGATATTTCTCTACGAATTAGAAACATTTAAATAAACTTAAATTACAAAAGATTCCCAAACTAGTCCGTCCATATATCTAAGCCATATTTAAAAAAAAAGAACTTGGTGTCTATTTAAATGCTAATTAATTCATATCTCTAATATTTTGTTTTAAAAATTCTCAATTATAATTTATTTAGATGCTATTTTGAAGATTAAGTTTCATGCCACCGTAAATCCTGTAGGTCAAACACTCAAACTAAAGAAAATCCCACAGAGAGCCAGAACTTAAAGGAACTACGATTGCCTTTTGAAAGTCATATGAGACTTATAAAAATGAAACATTTATATATTTTATTACATTTCTTTCCATCTCTTTATATACCCGGTACAGTTTTTGATTAAGCTATATCTTAACCAGAACTTTAAAAATTAAACCCCATAACCCCTGTTGCCTGTTTCTAATTATGGGAAATTAATGCGCTCAGGATTGATAGTTGGGAATTTCTGGGCAGTGCTTGAAGTCCTCCATCCTGGTCCTTGTGCATCCTGGTTCTTCAAGAAACACCCGGACGAAAACATTGTAAATATCCCTCACGTGGGTTCGTATATCACTATGGACGCTTTGGTCATAATTTATTTTGGTGTTTCGTTCGCGTCAACCATAAAAATCGGTTAGTCCGTTTATAAAGAAGTATCAATAACATCAGTATTCGTGATGGGCCATTAAACATGGCGTTTCTCTGTCAAGTTAACCCGGAAATAAAGTTCACATGACAGTTGGCAAGCAGTAATATTTATTTAGTATTTTGCTATTGTATAGTATAGACTTAGAACTAGGCCGATTGGCCCATACTCATAGACTGATATCGTCGATATGAAATCGTCAATTAAATTTATGCATATATTATACTGACAGTCTATGGACCTACTTTCTAAGACTATACAGTAACTAAGCAGTGTCAATCGTAAAAAATGTGGATTGGCTTGGTGAGTGAGTGAACTTATCTAAAATACTAAACTAAGTAAGACTAAAGTAAAGTAAAGAGTAAAGTAAACACAAGACCAAGTTGACATAACCATTTATCATCCATGATTACCATTATTAATCACACTCCATTCATTAATTTTTTAAATTGAACAATTCACATTATTTATAAAGCATTATTCCAAACAAAAAAGTAGGGAGGGGGGGGGTGTTGTTAAGAATATGTGACAAAATCACATTTACAATGTACTCCATTCATTAATTTTTTAAATTGAACAATTCACATTATTTATAAAGCATTATTCCAAACAAAAAAGTGGGGAGGGGGGGGGGGTTGTTACGAATATGTGACAAAATCACATTTACAATGTATTGTATGTCAACAATGGGGAGTGTCTAAATTTTATGACAAAATAATGCCATCATTTATGGATGCCTGGGGGGAGGGGGATTAGAGATGAGGACATTTATGATTTGTACAGAATACAGAAGAAAACCTACACAAAAGATAAAGGGTCATATCTGACATCAAAGGATGCTTAATTCACAAAGAAATCCATTCATTTAATAAGATAAGATTATTTTATTAATACCCAAACAAATGGAGATGTTTTATGATTGCATTGTACATTTTCAGCACATAAATATAACATTTTGAACACAAGACATTTATAATAAACTATTTCACTAGTAATTCATCTAGGAAGAAATTTTCTCATAGCCAGGCTGCAAAAGTAGGCCTAAATTTGTATTTTTTAGTTTTCTGATGTTGTCTTTGAAGTGAAGCAATAGAGTTTGAGATATGAATGATCACATCACTTTTAGCCTATTTCGAACGATATTTTCTTTTTAAATGCGAAATGAGGACTCAATACATTTTTAAGAGATTAACTTTGATTAAGAAGATTGCACACAAAAAAAAAAACAACAACAAAGTTTTGTATTTCTAATGGCTAGAATATTCATATATTTTCTGAATTGGAACCTAATTTGTTACCAGTTACCAACATGTTAGCAAAACTTTAATAATGAGAAATATATTTTAGAACTTAATGAACTTCAGAAACAAAAATAAATTGATTTTGTATGCTGGGACACTGATATATGAAATTCCTAATGGAAACACTAATACTTTAGATAACAGAAATAACTATAATTTTTTCGGCTTCTTTTATTCTTTCATACCAAAATTTATTTCGGTAGTGATACAAGTACAAGAAAACAAGTCTAGTTGCACCTTCACCATCAGTTTGTCATATATTTTTCATTTATAAAAATAAAAATGTTTGTTTGCATCCACACAGAAGAGATTTATATGACTGTGTATCATGGAAGATGAATCAGGCTCTTCTGGCTACACCCTTGGCACTGAGCTAGAAGATGAGGATAGCATACCTGGAGACAGCAAGGCAGACATCGTAACCATTATGGGGGAGGTGACATCAGATGTATCCCAGCACACCAGTTCTGGTGAAGAAGAGAGGATGCCAGTGTTTAAATCTGAACCCTCTGAGATGTGCAACATGGAGATGGATCAGTTCACAACTGTTGAGGAAGTGGAGATGGACTCCATGATGAAGACAGAGGTAGTTGAGGAGGAGTGTGAGAATTTTGAAGACGGTGACACAGATTCTGGTCAACATATTGCCCCACAACAGTTTATTATTCTCACTCGAACAACTGATGAAAATTCAGGTGAGATCTACGTAAAAAAGCTAACTATATTTTTCTAGGCTTGCAGTTGCTGATTATCACTAATAAAATGAAACTGTTTTTTTAAAAAACAAACAGACATAACTTACCGGATGTATGTATTAGTTTTAGACATAATTGAAAAAAGATACAAGTAATATAATTTGAGAATTGTATGTATTCAAACTATTTTTACAGAATCATTGGAAGGTGTTCCAGCAAAGTATATTCGAATTGATGGGGCTGATGGTCAAACCTATGTATTAGCACTTTCAGGTATGTGCTGCTGACATTGTGCAGATCAATAGCTGTTTTTTGGGGTGTGTTTTATTACAGATAGATGTCATTCTGATGATGTCATCATAGGAATAAGCATGTTCAATTTGTTTCAGATGATGTAAGTGGAGTAATCTCAACTGAGCAAACAAAGATTTTACCTAGTCAACAACTTTTACCAGCAAAGGTAATGGATGATTAAAACATTGATAAAATCATTGCTAGTGGTAGTGTTGGTTTCTATTTTTAGGAGTCTGGTCTCCAAACTTAGCATCTTTTATATCACACTTTAAAGACTATCTAAGATTGTCACATTACTAACACAGTTTAATATGCTACATTAATGAACTAGCACAGGATATAGGAACGAAAAGTCAAAAACAATATCACCACAATATGTTACTTTTTACACGTAAGATTGTTAAATATTACATTTTTGATGTTGTCTCTAAATAAAACTTTCTTTTGTTAGCATCCCAAAATTGGGAGGAATAGACCAGCAGGGCCCTCTGCAAATGTAGCATCCCCTTCCACAACCACACCTAGGGTCAAAGCTACACATAATGCTAACTCTGATGGCATCAATCAGGCTTGGTTCACAACTAGGGATGATAAGAATGCTCTCCACAGTGAAGGTTTGTGCATTTTTGCTATTTATGTATTTTCAGTGTTTAACAGGAATATTTGCTAAATGTTATTTTAGTGCCAAAAAGGAGTATCAACATAAAGAAGTTTATTTACTATGATACTAGAAGATATTATCTGGTGTTACTTGGTTAATAATGGAAGGGATTATGCACTACTTTCTACATTCTAAAGGCTAAACATTTGAAAACCTAATTTTTAAATATGTAACTGAATTAGGTTTTGATGTGTTGAAACTTTAAAGAAAAAATTACAATTTTTCCACATCCTTGAAATTATTACTAAGGAAATAATAAAGCAAAAAAATCCTTATTTTTAAATAAATTTCTATGTATAGATATTTAAGTTGCTGAAATCATTGGGTTTCAGAAATTTTTATCTTCTTTACAGTAGTGGCCTACCCAATACATTTTGATGCCAACTATAAAGAAAAAACATATTTTTAAAAACATCTATTTTCTTCAACATGTGTTACATTAACATATTTGATATAGTGATATCTTCATTAACCTTTTACCCAACCTTTGCCTTACTTTTGTAAAACACAGAATTCTTATATCTAAAAAAGAATCTCTGAGCCAATGAAGAATATAGTTATTTATTTAACTTAAAATCTTTGTTAAATTCAAATTGTAACATAATCAGGTTTGGATTATGACATCCACTGACCCTTTAGAGACCTCTGCAGGACAAATCTTGCACCTACTTTTTAACCCACTTCCTGATTTCCAATTAAGCTGAAACTTTGTACAATTTGACTCAAAAGTACGTGGTACAAAATAAAACAATATAAAAATTATTTAAAAAAAAAACCCAAACAAAAATTTACTAATAAGAATAAAATACTTGCCCCCCAAAACTTCAGAGTGTTGTTACAGTCTTATGACTAAAAAAGCATGGGGCGCCCGTGAACTCAATAATCTTTGTTTCAGCTCAGTAGGCAATTATATTTATTTAAAAATATAGGAAAGAACACAATCAAGTTGGTCATTTTCAGTGGTACCCGAAGACTAAAACTATAATGCAAAAAATATGTATGAAAGAATGTTAAATCTCATCTTTTATAATACCATAACTCTCACAGTCATATAAAATACTAATAACGAATATTAAATTTATGTCTCAAAATCTTTTATGTTTTGTATCTACTGTAAATGTTTTGGATTTTGGGTTATTTTATCATGAAAAAAAAAAAGGAATAATTGTGACAATTTTCCACATCCTTGAAATGTGTATTTAAGAAATAGTAACTCAGACTTTCCCTTTTATAAAGAAGTGTATGCATAGATGTTTTCATTTATGACATAATTGGGATTTGAGAAATGTTAAGTACCTACATATAATAACATAAATCTCTGAACTACAAACAACATAATTTTATGTTGAATTTATTGATAATTTATGATAATAATATTTACATATTAAAGGTTGCATATGCCTGCATATTAGTAGATACATTTTTTTCATATTTAAAAATTATTCCTATAAAATACTACAAAATCACTATAACTATCATTTCTTTTTAAGATCGGAGTGTATTTAAATTTCTTTGATTTACGTACCATGATAAAAAATCACTATTGCATACACACTGGCTTCTTCTTATAAATATGTTTTTGATAAATTATACGTTAAAAAAATTATCTGCAGGTCACAAATGGAAACAAGGCCAGTGGACTAAGGAAGAAATTGAAATATTAGAGTCTAACATCAACGATTATTGTAAGGTCAGCTTTAAGGAGTAGCATAAGGAGTAGTATAGATGTGTATGAGATATTCTGTAGGAAAAGTCCTACATTTAAATGCCATTTTTATACACAATAAAATTGTTTGATTTATCAAATTCTAGGAACACAACATCAAAGACCCGGCTGAAGTTATTTTTGAAATGTCTAAAGATGAAAGGAAAGATTTCTACAGGACAGTTGCCCTTGGTATCCAGAGACCTCTTTTTTCTGTGTATCGCAGAGTGACAAGGATGTACGATCAAAAGAACCACAGGGGAAAGTACACACCAAGTGAAATGAAGGATTTGAGAGTGTGAGTTTTAAAAAATTTATGAGAATTATTGTTAAAAAAAATTGATTCAGTGCTTCTTACTGACAAGAATTTTTATGTTGCTAGGTATGATCATTATTTTAACTTTATTTATTAATGCCATGTTAAAAAACTTATTATTAATTAAAATATGTAATTGACAGTGTAGTGTGACTAAAGTTTTAAAAAAATGAGCTCGCAAAAGTGACTGTCACATTTTTGTTTGTCATAGCAAAAGTTTGTAATTTGTAAAAGAGTGTGATCTTACACATTATTTTATGTCCTTATATCATTACCTGTACCAGCCTTGCTTGTCTTTTTTAAAAATTGGTGTCATTATTCAATATTTGGAAAGCAAATAGACTGATGCGATTGTTGTGAACTAGATTGTTGTGAATGTTGGGTAGGGGGAGTTGTGAATTATGAGAGTGTTTTGTGAGTTGTTGATTGTGAGGTCAGAGCGTGAAGTTAGTCCGTGGTGTGGAACGTTAGTGTAGGCTGAGTGTTTGTGTGGTAATATTAAAGGGATGTGTGTTAGCTAGAGGTCAGAAGAAAGGTAGAAGAGTAAGAGAAGAATGTTAGTCATCAAAAGTTGTCAGTCAAGAGTTAGTCGAGTAGTTGTGCTAGGAGAGTGGATAGTTGATAGTTGGACTGATGTGTGTTCCACGCACCATAGTATATTGAATAGCAGTATCCTGTTTTGTAAAGTATGCAATAAATTATTATATTGTTACACTGGAACTTGTGTTTTATGTGAGAGAGAGATTCATACACCCTAGATAACGTAAGAAGGCCGAGCCATTTGATGAAGGTCTCAAGTTAGTAAAGTAAAGTCGTAACAGCGATTTTTGAAAACTACTTCTGCTATCAAATCATAGTGTGTAATAAATTTTAGTTTAGATGATGTCAACCTACTCTCTTTCAGTATTGGTATTAATTTTCCAACTCACCATGCAAAATCATTTTCAAGAGCTTATTTTTCAGTACAATGTGTTATGTTTCATTAGACTGAGGGCAAAACATGGCAATGATTGGGCAGCCATTGGTGTGGCTTTGGGACGTAGTGCTTCCTCTGTTAAAGACAAATGTAGACTTATGAAAGATAACTGCAACTCTGGTAAATATTATTTGTTATGGTATTATGTGGTAAATATTATTTGTTATGGTATTGTGAACTAGTTCATTTCAATAGCCATTAATGAAAGACATCATATTTTACAATGGTGTTATGGTGGTGGAAATTTTAAAAAGAAGTTCTGGCAAATGTTTTCCCACATTTTTTATTATAGGCAAGTGGTATCCAGAAGAGGAAGAGAGACTTGCTGCTGCTGTTTACAAGCTAACAGGACTTAAACCAAGTAAGTTAACATTTTCAGTCCCGTTGGGGCTAAGGCTAAGCTTGCCGTAAACAACATGCCATTTTCAACAATGTTTCAACAGTGCCTAGTGAATTTAACCCTTCTTGTTAAGGAGTTTCAAAGAGCCTATTTATAAATGGAAAGTGTTAAAAGCATTTTTTTGTGTGGAGGTTTGTTGGCTGTGCTCTTGATTTTACACTCTTTTTAAATTTTTAAAATAGTGATTTGTCCATAGTAAATCTTCCCTTAGAAAATGGCATTAGCGTTTATAGAATTGCTTCAAGCTGCAAGTTACGTCATCTGTTAGTGTTGACAGTGATTAGTTTGATGCAGAAATAGTGTCGACCGTGATGATTTTGAAGCAGAAGGATAATGGACATGAACGTGATGTTGATATTGAATTAGCTCAGATGGGGGTGATGTTGAAGAGTTTGCAATGCAGATTAACATGTATGCATGCTCTTCCAATCCACCCAAAACATGGGTTGAAGCAACAGTGAATGGCATGAAATTATTAATTTTTTTTACACAAATGGGATGTTTGGAATTCACCTGCCAATATAAACACTATTGGTCAAGTAATGAGCTGTTACTGTTAGGTGTTTCCACAGTAGCTAATGGGATAAGTAGAGCTAGATTTAAACTCTTATCTAGATTTTTTCATTTGAGTGATAATAGTAAAATTATTCCAAAGAGTACTGAAGGATATGATCCTACTTTCAAGGTTAGGCTTTGATCTTTTTGGAAATGGTGGTGTTAAAAATTTTTGTCCTGGAAAAAAATTTCCTTTGATAAGGCCACGATAACCTTTACAGGAGGATTACATTTAAACAGTACATCTTAACAAACCTTACCCAATGGGAATTAAAATTTGTCGTGCAGCAGATAGCAAAACCGGTTATTTTTGTGGCTTTGAAATTTACATAGGCAAATCAGACAGGCAAAAGGAATACAGCCTTGGCTACCATGTTGAGAGATTGCTAAATAAATACCGTACCATAAAAGATGATGCAATATTTTTTTTTATCTATGACAGCATCTCAGGTGTACTTTTTTGCTGATTTATATATATCTATATTTTCTTTTGCAGGCGAAAGTATCACATCAGGTTTATCTTGGGCAAGTGTGGCCGAGCATGTGGGCACAAGATCAGAGAAGCAGTGCCGCACAAAATGGTTGAACTATCTCAACTGGAAACAACAAGGAGGGGCTGACTGGACCAGGGAGGATGATACTTTACTTATTGACAAGTAAAAAAAAATTTTGGCAGACATTACTGTAAAGGACTTGGATGGATATTGTGATTGGGTGTTGTTTTGAGAGTATTTGGGTAGATATGCTACTAAATGTTTGGTATTTTGTGACGTATTGTGCGTAAGGGGAAATATGTGTTGTGGTGTCGTTTGTGGTGATTGAGTAATGGCAGTTGACAATGTAGTTTGGCTAATAAAGATACTTTATTCTATGAGCATTGGTTTGTGTAGTTAATATAATAACTCCTAGACAAACGAAGCAAATGAACCTTTGGTGAGAACTGGTTTGTAACAATTACTGCACGTTAAGCTCTTGATTTTGCCGTTTTTAAATGCAGACTAGTTTCATAATTATCCAGTCATCCACAATCAATTATTGTTTTATTTGAAACCTCAGGTGTTTTAAATTATTTTTTAAAAATCTGATTTGCCGAAAATTAATGTGTACAATCTAATCAAAACATTTATTTGGATGTAAAAAATTTTTTTGATCTTATTGAATGTATTTTCCAAGAGTATCTAAAATGGAAGTAAACAGTGATTCAGAAATAGACTGGGTGGCACTAGCACAAGACTGGGCAAGGTAAGTTTACTTAACTTCATTCGCCATACTAGAGTCAAGTCATCAAAAAAGAACTATTTTTGTTTTGTTGTTGCTTCTTAAAAGTATGAAGATAATTTCTTTCTAAATTTTGTAGTTTAATGATGTGCTGCAACAGGAACTTGGTGGCATAGTTTTGTGTGATTACTTAGATTGTTTCTTGTTGTACATTCAGGACATATTTGACTCATTTTCAGTGTCAGATCACCCCAGTGGCTCCGTGGCAAATGGTGGGCCTTGAAAAGGCACATTGCAGATTATAATAAACTAAGCTATCCAGGTAGGTTTGAATTTATTTCAAAATTGGTCTGAAGAAAATAATTTTTTTTTTCATCAGTATGGAAAGACTGATCAATTTGAGCAAATGGTTGGCCAGTATGCTTTTAAGCTACCTTAGCTTTTTTCTTCAATGTTAATATTTTATTAATATTGCAAATTAGAAAATGTCTCTATTTTATACAGATATCCAGACTAATATTTGTTACAATGTTAAGATATTTGAATAACATGTGCATACAATCTTTACTGCCTTACCAAGGCCATAGGTACAAAATTTGTTGATGTCATAAGTAAGCATTTATATTGTAGTATGTGAAATAGGCATGTCATAAAAACCTCTGTGAAATGCATTGTTGGGGATTACTGTTTATTACCCAGAGGTAGTTCAGGAGAGAGTTGTTGTTCATTTAAGTAATTAAATGTAACAGCAATTATCATAGTTTTATTATTTTTGTTGTTCTCAGCATTACTTGAACAAATGCACCAAGTGATCTACTGGAACTTGAAACCAAAAGTTGGTGCTAGACAGTGTAAGAGTGATGGAACTCTTGGTGCTGGCTCATCATCTGATGTTTTTAAAGAATGTATCCCAGTGTCTTTAACAGGTATCTTTAAGTTATTACATTACAGTGTCTATTGTGGGAATGTTCGCTTTTAGGATGTTGCCACTTTTTTAAAATAGCATTGAGTCTCATTGGAGTAAATTATTTAGTAATAATCATGACTTGTTTCAGCTGGGGTGGACGGCACTGGATCTTTATCACTCTCCTACTGTTCATCTGATGAAGAAGGTTTTCAGGCTTTTGAAGTTCTACAGCAGTGGACGCCACAGGCTATTGCCCAGGGGACTTCTGGTAGTGATGGGGAGCAGGGCATCATAAATACAGCTGGTGGCCACATTATAGTTCAAACAATGGGAGTGAGTAACAGTTGTCCAATGGTTTCTTTTACATTTGGCTGCATGTAGGATGGCAAAGTCTCCAGCTCTTGGTGGTTGTAAGGGTTGATCAAGTTGGGGTAAAGTTAAGATCACTCTTGAAAGTCTTTTTCTTAATTAATTTTAACATACCAAATGTGCCATCTGAAACTCATTATATGGCTGGTTTTTCACTCAAATAGTCAGGCATAATCATTAAATTTAATTTGAGATATTTTAATCTCAAATGTATGAGAGCATACGAGCATACAAGTGTCAATCTGAAGGGCAAAATAATCATCATGGCTTAAAAATTGTGCAATAAATTTATTTGTGTTATTTATATATAATATACATGATTTGTTGTAAAATTGAATTATATTTTATCAGTGGTAGAATACGTAACAATTCTTAAAAATTTCATGAACTTGCTATGTTTTGTGGCATGGGCTGCGTTATTGAGATTTTAATATTACTTTGTCATCTGAATGACCAATAATGTTTTTTTTTAAAAATATACCCAATCTAACCAAAACCTGTTTCATCAGCCATCACTTAGTGACACTGTTCAGTTGAGCGGTCATCAACAGGTCATCATCAGTACAACAGGCGTAACATCTGAAGAAGAAGGGGGTGAGGAGATGACAATACACGTATCAGATGAACTTGCGCAAACAGATCCAGGTAGGTAGTGGGCTGGCCATGATATCAAGTCTTAATTTCTCCTTAAGTTGCTGTTTACTGTGGTTTAAATCCCCTCAATATAAAATTAACATTCTATTTTTCCAAGGAAGGGTGTACTTTTCAATCATGTCCAATAATTGAGGAAATGGTACATTTATGAACTGTCATGACATCTGGTTTGGCTCTAAACGTTATCTGGTTTGGTGTGATAGTGGATGCATTCACTTGTCTTTTAAATTATAACTTTTGTCCTCAGATCTCAGCGGTGATAACCTCCATGACACAAGTATTACATCTTTTGCATCTAATGGAGAGGAGATTATAACAGTTTCTCAGTTCCACAGCCAGGTATAAATTTTAAATTTCATTTTATAAATGTGATTTCAATATATTATATTATAGAGGCATCTGGCACTCAAAATTTCCTCATATTATTTAAAATTATTCTTGTTAGTAAATTTGCTGCCAGTTTTTAATAATATAAATTATTAGTGCCACAGCTCAGAAATACACATTAATGAAAAATTTCAATCAGTTATAAGAATGAAAGCAATATGATAGACAAGATAAATTTTAATGGCATACATTTAAAAAATCTTTTAAGATCAATCATTTAGTTCTAAGAAATATTTTTTAAAAAAAGTACCAGTCAACTCTATTAATGAAATTAAAATTGCAGTCCGAGTCTACAGATCAAGACATAATGAATCATGGCGTTTTTGAAACCGTAACGTCAGAGTCAAGTAGTGACCTGGTCATGGGAGTTAGCTCATCTCATCATACGAGTAGCCCAATGACAAGCCTTAAAGGTAGTACATTTATGGCACAGTTTAAAATATTTTACCATTCCATGCAACACTGACTCGTTTTATAAGGCATACTCTACTCCCAGATCCGTTATTTGGAAAAGCTAAAATCCTCTTCCAGTTTCATGAGTAATAACAAATGTGATTTTTAAATAAACAGTCGTCCGTCACCTTATCGCGGTCTCACTGCATCGCTGATTGTTTTACCTGTATCTAATATAGATATCCATATAGAATTTTATATATTGTTAAAAAGTGTTAAATTGCAACATCATCATCATGTCCCTTAGTCCTGGGACAGTTGGGGCGCCACAGATGACATGAAAACTATCCTTTTCCATTCCTCTCTGTTTTCTGCAATTCGCACAGCATCGCCTAGTTTTAGTCCCGTCCTCTCTTTGATGTTATCTTCCCATCTTTTTCTCTATCTTCCTCTTCTTCTCCCTCCTCTTGGTGTGCCCTGCATGATTTCTTTGGCGAGCCCTTGTTTTCTTTTCGCGTGGCCATACCATTCCAGTTTGTGCTTTTTTACAGTCTCCAGTTTCTACAAATAGTTCTTCAAGTGAAGGATGTTTAGTATATGTTATGTTCCTAGCTTTCTTGATTAGTCGGTTTATGCGGTGTTTAATATCAGACGTTGAATTCTCACACCAGCAGGTTATACTGAAATTAAGTGGGCTTCCAATTGTTGCACTGTAGAATAAGTTAACGACTTGTTTGTTTACGCCGAAATTGTACAGTTTTTTGAGGTAGAACTCTGTGGGAAGGGTTTATAAAGCCTTAAAAATATTTATAAGTTTAATTCAAGGTCCCTACTTCGTGGATTCTGGCCTATCACAGGGCTTGTGGACCCTAACCTCTGCAATAGAGGAGGGACCACTGTATTTTAGTTCATTCTTTCTGTGGTTCCTTTCATATTAATTCATTTTTGCTGTAATTTCACTCATGTCAGTTTTGTGCTTACTTGCAGACCCTATACTCATGTCCTCCTCTGATGTTGAGTGTGATAAAAGTCAGAGTGCTGTGCTAACTGATGAGTCATCAGAGTTGATAGACTAATTGGAGCCATCACAATTGTGGTCTAGGAGATCATGTTGACAACATAGCTTTACATTCAAAAATTGTTTAATTTCACACACCAATGATGGTTATACTTATACTATTTAGATTTGTCATTAATTTTAAAAAATATAAAAATTCTTTGAGTATTTTCAGAGGATGAAATGTATTTTTTGTAAAGTTATTATTCTTTGTAAATTTGTTACATTAGTATTGCTTGTTTGATCATGATAAAACTACTCTCAACTATCCATGACCATTAGACGCTAGCATTTCGTCCCAAGATGTTAACAAGATGCAGTATTTCCTCTTTCTTCTTTATACAGTTGTGTAATTATTACTGTCTGCTTGGAACAATGACAAAGCGGTTTCACCTTTTGTTTATAGTTTGTTGACTTTTGTTTGTAAATAGCTGTGCATGCTAATGTTTAAATAAATTATTTAAGATAACCTTTGACTATCAAAAAAACTTCTGATATTTAAGTTATTTAGATTGTTTTGTCGATAAAATGATGTTTACAATGTGTTTTTCAATATTTGTAACCAATTATAATGAAATTTGACTTTTTTTTTAATAGTATTTTGTAAAAATATTGTACATATAATTTGTTGTTATAGTGTTATAGACACAAAAAACATTGGCAGAGTTAATAAATACTGATGTTTTAACTGTGATCAAAGGTTCAGTTGATGAATTTTTGTCAATTTGTTTGTGCAAATTTTATTTTTGCAAATGCATTTTATTTAATATTTTTATAACAAAAAATACTGAAATAATATGTTAAAATTTAGATGCAAACTGGATCATGATAAATTTATTGATTAGTGAAGTCATGGACCTAAGAAATTTCATAAATTTGTTCAGTTCAACACTATATGTTATTTCGTTGTTTTTTTTTAGCCAATTTGCCCTATATTCTTTCATCTAATAGAAATCTATTGGCATGTCACATGTTTTTACAGCTGGATTAAGTTTTAAATACACTGGTCAGTATTTGATAAATAAAAATTGATATCTAAATGGACATCTCAAACTTTAATACAAATAAGTTAAAATTTCATATTTACACATTTTTACCTGAACTAACCATTGGATAAAATAAACTTGCAATCATCAAAAATCAAAAATCCATTCTCAATACAGAGAGTTCAGAGAGCAAGCATTATAAATTAAAATACATTCATTCAATAAACAGATAATACATTATATTAAATCTAGTGCAGCGTATCTGTGTATGACTAACATTTGTGGCACGTCAATAGGAATATTATCATGGTTTTGGCTGTAACTATATACACACAAAGTGAAATAAGAATAAATTTAAGCAGAAGACAAAATTTGAATGGTCACTTTAAAAAAAGTTGATATCAAAGAATAAAAATAAAAATGTTAAAAAAATATAATACTGGATGTGTATTGATGATTAACAAAACATGTCCAAAAAACATATAATGACATATTATAATCCAGTATAAAGTATTCTTTTCTTCTGTTAGGTATTATAAACCTGTGTTATTTTGGTAAGAATGGGTGTTACGGTATAACTGAAGATAGGTTTTTGTTTTATAGAATGACTATCATTTCATTCTGATTAATTTTCAAACCAAAACTTACACAATATATCAAAATATAAATAACTTATTGTGGTGTGCCTTTAAATTGAAAAGCTTAAAAACAGAGTTTAAATATCGGGGCGTAACATTAAATTTGATTTAAAAGTCAGCCTTTATTTAGACTTTGCATCTGAAAGATGATTAGACATTTGATTAATTTTCTGCTAACAAATACTCAGTACAGGGTATTAAAGTTTCACTGAGATTGAGATCATATATACTTTTTAATTTCCACAAAGATAATTTGACCACCAATTAAATGCAAAAAGAATCAATATATCAACTGCTTTAATGATTTTAAGCTGTCTGTGTACGGCTACCAACTCCATGGATGTAGAGATTACCCACAATGCACAGCATAAATATTGTAAAAGCATTGTAGAAAATCATTGTTCTGAATTTTGGTTCAAGCTCACCTTGTCGATACCAATAAACCTGTTTTAAAAAAAAATTACATCATATTAAATTTAACTTTATTAAGTAGTTCTACAATTTCTCTGCAAACTAAAAGATTTGTGAATCATAAAATATTATTCAACTCTCTGTGGGTAGTTAAAAAGAGTTTTTCCTCACTTTTAATTTCTTGCTGCCATCTGATTTCAATTAAACCCATAATAATAATTAGGTACATTCTAAACCATTGTGATCTATCATAGCTACAAGAATAAGAAATCAAACAAATTTGTTAAAACCAATAATTATTTAATTCTGTAACTCGATGTAGTTATAGATTGTAAAAAAAAAAACGTTTTCACAACCTCTAAGGTATTAGTATTATGGAGAGTATGACTGATATTTACCAACAATAAATGATTTCACAACCTCTAAGGTATTATGGACAGGATGACTGATACTCACCAACAATAAATGGTTTCACAACCCCTAGGGTATTAATCGACAGTATGATTGATACTCACTAATAATAAATGGTTTGACAACCTCTAAGGTATTATGGACGGTATGACTGATACTGATACTCACCAACAATAAATGGTTTGACAACCTTTAAGTCTAAGGCAGGCCTGCACAACTCAAAATCTAAGGCGGGCCATAATACTTTATGAAAAACTTATGCAGGCCAAAATAAAATGGGGCAGGACTTCTGCGAGCCAAAAGAAAATAGGACAGGGAGAAAACTATTAAAAAAATAATAAAAATAAAGAATATTTCGTTACTTTGCGGGCGACAAAGTGGGTGCTAGCAGGCTGCATCCGGCCCGCGGGCCGTATGTTGTGCAGGCCTGCTCTAAGGTATTAATGGACAGTATGACTGATACTGATACCAACAATAAGTGGTTTCACAACCTCTAAGCTATTATGGACAGTATGATTGATACTCACCAACAATAAATGGGAAGCACAAATTAACAAGATGACAAGAGCAAAAAAAACATTGACGCCATCAGGAGGCCATTGGGGAAAGACAAATGCGCTTATCAATGTCACCTGTAAAAATAAAAAAGCATAATAACACAATATTATCAATACGTAGCCTTAAATTTATCACATATAAGGTGTACTGAAAAAGAGTTTTGACACAGCTGACATACTTTAATTGAAACAGAAGACGGTCTTCTGTTATAAAATGACCTATCTTATTTTGTGAAAAATTAACTAAAATTGCTAAAGCAATATTTGGCTTGATAAATTACATTAATGTCCAGTAAATGAAAACTGACATGTGGTCAGGGCCGGCCCTAACAATTGCCGGGCCCTATGCGAAATGGATTGCGCGGCGGCCCAGTCTGGGTAGAGACAAGGATAATAAATGAAAATTAAGATTTTGTATTCGAAAATAAATTCGTCTATGCATTTTATTAATTCTTTACTAAGTACAAAATCACGATCAAATTAACTTTACTTTACGAGCCTTGCGTGTAGGGAAGTCATACAGTATATCATCAAAATTCTGTTTCCTACATAGATCACGCTCAATAGTAAGAATTGCCAAATTGTTCAATCTATCTTCGTGAATTATTGACCTCAAGTAATACTTGATTAGTTTGAGGCGCGAGAAGCTTCTCTCATCAGATGCCACAGTTACGGGTATTGTTAAAAATATTCTGAGTGCAACAAAGTAGTTTGGGAAAGCAGTGTGGACAGATAAGCCAAAATTTCTACCGCGGTTTTGGCGGTATTTGGTAGAATATGCCTTAAAGATTCCATTTCATCTGCTAATTCTCGCCAATATATATCTGCTGACTGGTCTGTTGATGACGTCAATGCTTGCTTGAGGCTCGCTGTAAACTTTCGTATATCATCACGCTGAAGGCTCTTAAAGCTGACAAGAAATCCAAATAGATTGTGGTTTGATTTCAGCTGTTCAAATCTCGGCTGCAAGGATTGCATTGCAGTGTCCACAATTCTGTTGAAGCAATTTATCCTGTAGTCATCTTCAGCATTTCCATGTGTGAAGTTTTCCACAGATTTATCATACTGCCTTTTCCTTTGATGTTTGGCTGAATAGGCTTGGACTGTAAAGGGTTAAGAACGGTGTATGTTTCATCTTACCCCAAGTTCCCCTAAATGACGAGTTTAGAGATAAGGCACCCGAGCAGCTACAATTTTTTTCAATTTTATTTACTTGCCGTTATCATTTGAAACAACGACATAATCGATTAAAACAGAATAAACATGCTGACCTATACATGATTATAAGTTATAATGGTTTAATTTGATAATTTACACCTAGAATTAGCGCGGGGCCTATGAAAGTGCGTGGCCCACTGCGGCCGCATAGGTTGCAGTGGCCTAAGGCTGGCCCTGCATGTGGTACAAACAGCTCATAATAATGATGGCTAAAAAGGATAAAGATCATTAAGTCATTTCAACTGGATTTTTGAGTAAAGCGACACAACATGATGAGTATGATACAGTCAAGTGCTTGTTAAATGACAGAGATAGAATCTTATAAGAAAATTTTAAACATACCAAGACCATAATGCCAACAATTGTACCAACCACCAAATTCACAACACGATCCTGAAAGACATTTTATTTATTGAATTAAATTTTTGTTTTTAGAAGAAGTTATTTGGATAATTTTATTTTTCATTTATAAATCATTTTAAAAAAAATTATATATGCTGCATGAAAAATAAATTGTTTAAAGAATGAGAATTGAAATGATCTCTCATCCCATAGTGTAAGTTAACATTTTAAATTTGAAAATGAAAACATGTTATATAACAAATACAGCTTTAAATAAAAGGACTGGATCTGAAATAAAAGAAATTATCAACAATATAATCTTATTAACAAGCAATGAGCCTTATTAAAATAACCCCATCTTGAAGAATTACTGCTCATATTCTTAAAAGAAAAGTACTATTCAAATGCTAAAACAAACAATGCCACATTCGTAAAATAATGTTGGTTCTAATACTTTTGCAATAGAATGTTCTGGTTGTACTGAGTGACGTAGAAGTTCAGGTTTGGTTGTCAGCAGGGTTCAGTTCAGTTGTCAGTAGGGTTCAATTTCAGTGTGTTTGGTTCAATTCCCATCTCTACTTTGTTTACAGTAGCATGTTTAAATATTTTAAGAATAATTATAATAAAAACATAATAACATATACATAGTGTGCACAATGAGAAAATCAATACATTTTACAAAACTTACAGTTGATGTAGGTCCACCAAATAGAGGACGATCCAGAGGATCTGTTTCTCTCTGTCCATCCATGTTATATTTTTATTTTCAAAAATTCTTCCTAATAGTCTTGCAACTAAATTTATTGTGGCGCATTTGCTTGAGATAGTGGTGAAGTCTTGATAACACCACTATTAGTGATGAGGCAACTGCCCATCACTAATTTTATTTATTTTACTTATTGTAATAAAAATTCAGAGTTTATGTCTCATAGTGTCATAGCATATTTTGATATTGACTTACAACTGTAGCCTTTATGTACTATACTAGACTATAGTGCTGGACTTATAATCTACTAATACTAATAGTACTAATACTCTGTAGTAAGGGTGATAATGATGATGATGTCAGATGTAAATTTTAGTTAAGGAGTTAATTTATTATCATTAATTATTTCTTGGTCTTATCAACTCTTCTGTCCACAGTCACGTTACACAAATGTTCATTGGACTTGCTGTTTAAAGAGAGAAAGAGAGGTACAGAGTCAGAGAAAGTTATTAAAGTTTTTATAATATAATATCATAGAATTTTTTTTTCTCTACTGAACTCTTGACACTCTTGTTGGAGCATTAATTCACTATAAAAACGAATACACATTTATTTTATTTTAAGATCTGCCTACACCAGGGGTCGGGAACCTTTTTGTATGAGAGAGCTATGGACACCACATATTTTGAAAAGTAATTAATTCTGTGAGAGCCATACATTATGTTTAAAACTAAAAATTCAAGCAGTGTCAAGCAAAAATGTGTGCATTTTGTGTGTTTTCAACACTAAATATGCAATAAGTATGTCTCTGAATTCTTTTTAAATTTTAATAACATTGTTATGCTGTTGCTAATCTATAATGAGTATTTCTTCCCATTAATGCGACTTTTTTTAAATAATCGAACATTTGTCTGCGAGCCAGATGCAGCCATCAATAGAGCCACATCTGGCTCGCGAGCCATAGAGACCCCTGCCCTACACAATGAATAGGTCAATAATAGACTATAGACTTGTTAAGCCTTGTTGACAAAAAGGGAAAGTAAATTATTTAAGTTAATGTAGCCCTACACTTTTAATTTATGGCCTAAACATGGAACAACAATTCAATTATAAACAATACTAATGACTAATTATATGTATTATTATTATATAGTACTAAGTCATATGACATAAAATAGCCTGCCTATACTATTATAGTAATAGTATCTAGTATCAGAATCTTATCAGTATTGAGCAGTGGTTCTTAACCTTTTTGGAGGTACTGAACCCAATCAGTTTGATCATATGCGCATTAACCGAACCCTTCTTAAAAGGAAAAATTAAATATGATTTTTTTTCTGATTATTTTTTTACCTCCGCCGAACCCCTGAGACTAACTGAACTAACTCACCAAGCCAAACCCCTGGGGTTCGATCGAACCCAGGTTAAGAACCACTGGTATAGAGTATAGTCATAGTAGTCATAATAGCCATGGCCATGGACCTTTGACTTTGATTTTTTTATTTTCATTTGGCAGTTTGTTGAATCTGTTAACGATCGTAATTTCATTAGACTCTAGTCTCAAGGAATTAAAATCAAACATATTATTTTTAGAGAAAATGGTTCAATTTACTTCCTGCACAAATTTAAATATTTTAAATACGTCAAAGATAGCCTTGTTTCTTTCGCATAAAGTAGCCATGTCAACAAGGAGGCGTCAACTTACTACTCTTGTTATTTTTTTTTTGTTGTTGTCAAAAATGAGTTTTGAAAATGTTAGAGTAGTTTCCCTTTGATTTAAAAAAAAAAAATATTCTTCATTTAATTCTAAAATTAGTTTACAGGTCGGTGTAATAAACCCCACTTACTTAATTCCAACAGGGAAATAATAACATTTTGTTTAATTTATTTAAAAATGTATTTCATATTCAATATAGTGGGAGTCATAAGCTCAATAGAATTGAAACTTATGCACTGATATTTTTCGGACACATTTTAAAACATAAATTTGTTAAACCTGTGAATAATAAAAAATAAAATAAAATTTTTACGTAATTAAATATATTATTTTTGGCTCAAAATCCCACATTGATTGCAGTGCTGAATTAGCAGTGCGTGGGTGTGGCGAAAACAACTAACTACGCAAATATTATTTGGTTAAAAAATCGCTACACAAAATATAACGTAAGGTACCTTACTATGGTACACTTTGGATTATTTAGTTGTATTTTCCCCACATTTATTGTTGCTAGTTCAACTGACTAATAAAGACTATAACTATAAGACTAATAAACTTACGGATTTTATAAGGCTTTCCATTGCGCTTTTAAAAGAAGAATGAATCAATGAAAGTCAAAATTTGTCAAGATTTCTTTATTGATGTTCAAAGGAATTCTTCTTGATTTGAGCAGCGATTAAAACGTTACATTCTGCCAAGACACTAGTGTGAGCCGATATTCTTCTTATGCCTTTTTACCCCGTCTGCGGCATAGGTCGTCCACAAGAATTTTCCATTCATCACGGTCCTGTGCTTTCCTTTCCAGTCGCTTCCAGGTGTAGGCCTATCCCATATTTTGCGTGTCTGCCTCTAGCGTGCGTCTCCGTGTATCCTTTGGCCTTCCTCTCTTTATTTTTCCATGCGGATTCCATGTTAGGGATTGTCTGGTGATGCTATCTGGGGGTTTTCGGAGCGTAATCCCTATTCGTCTCCATCTTTTCTTTATGATGTCTTCATCAATGGGCACCTGTTAAGTCCTTTCTAGTAGATCTTTATTAGTGATGGTATTTTGCCATTTGATGTTCAGGATCTTTCTATCTAAGGCATTTGTTTAGGAAGGTCTGTACTTTCTGCATAATGTTCGCTGTTGTTTTCCAAGTTTCTGCTCCATATAGTAGAACTGTTTTGACATTAGTGTTAAAGACTCTGACATTGGTTTGAAGCTTTAGCTCCTTCGACCCCCAATATTTTCTTTAATAACACAAATACTGATCTAGCTTTTCCAATTCTTGCCCTTAAATCCGCCTCGGATCTGTCATTTATGTCGATGGTGCGCCTAAGTATTTGAAGGACTCCACTTCTTCCAGGGCCTTTCCTGTTAGAGTGATGATATGCTCTTGGTTGGCTAAGTTTACCTTCATGATCTTCGTCTTGCTTTTATTTACATTGAGTCCGAGCTGTGCTGAAATGGTGGCTACGTCTTTCGTCTTTTCCTGCATTTGTCACTGGTTGTAGGACAGAAGTACAATGTTATCTGCAAAGTCTAGGTCATTCAGTGTGAGCCGATACCCTCTATATAGTGTTAAAATTCTTCTGCTTTTAATTTTAATAATATACAATACTGTCGCTCATTGTTGATGCAAGCCTTATCGATTTTGAACAAACTAAATGGATCTTACTTCACATATCATTGGTTGGATAGTTGGAAATACTAATTTGATATTTTGTCTTCTTCTTCTATTTAAGGGCCCACGATCATTAAAAAAATAATCATTCTGGCTCCTCTGCATGTAGAGGGGATTTGCAATGTTTCTGTGCCTGGTGTTGAAGAGGAAATTTCACTGGTTGCAAGGGCTACTCAGTGAGGGTATCATGAACTGGGGGTTGGAAGGCCTGAGGCAAAAGTTTGATGGGTTTTAGCCTCAACTGTTCCATTTGAAAGCTTGTTCCAGTCCCTGATTGACTTTTGCAGGAATGAGCAGTTCCTGTACTGGCTTCTTGCTGGTATGAGCCGGAACTGCCTGTCATGGCCTCGTCGCTGTCTCTGGGGCGAGAGGGACGAGTTTCTTTTTAATGCTGGATAGTTAGATATAACAAGTGGATCTCACTTTGGATGCTTGGACACAAGGCCATTACGAAGGGATGTGAAGGGGAAAGGGGACGATCACCCCATGCCCCAACAACATTAAGGAGCTAATAAAATTAATTAGATATGCTATAGGAACCTAGTCCTAGTAGTTATAATCAAATGATAAAATCACATTTAGATTACTTCACAATGACAACGGCGCAAAAATTGTCTTTTTACTGGTCCGCCACACTTTTCTAAATATTGATGCGTGCCATATATTGTAATATAGAGTAATAATAATTACAGCCCATCTTTAATGACGTATATTTAAAAATTAAACTCCCCAAAAAAGGTTTGCCTACCCCTAGACTAGACTGTAGGCCAACTTCAAATAAAGTTTAAGCTTTGAGAAGCTACATTTATCACCTGCCACTGAAAGGGATAAATTTAACGGAATACCAACAATAGTAAATAATGAAAATGTACACAATCTCAATAAAAATGCGAAATAACTTATGTCACATGAGAGGCTACTCTTAATAACTTTAATATTTTAGAAAGTTTTAGTCTATTGTTATCTTTATTATTCTTAATGTTATTATTTTTCAGTATCTTTGTTACATTTTGCTTCTGGTAGGGCTGCTTCCTTTTCACAACTGCCACCCCCTACTCAACATGTTTTATATTAATGAATATGATACTGAGTGAAAAAAAAAGCTATCAAGCAGCGAACGTCGTTGTTTCCTTTGACTTTGACCGGTTGCACACTTGCACCGTGACTCACTCTCAGGTTGGTTGTCATTTTTGGGAGGCGACTATGTTTATATTGTTATTTAATCAATAAAGAGCCACGGGTATGGTGTAGGACTATCTTTAGGACTTCTGCTAGACTATTTTTACACGAAGGCAGTGGGGTCTCTTCTTCTTCTTCTTCTATATCTTAAGGCTTAAGGCTTAAGGGCCCACGATCAATTTATTGATAATTTTGGCTCCTATACTATGCATGTAGATGGGATTTGCAATGTTTCTGTTACTGAGGAAACAGATGAGGATGAGGAAATCATGCACTAGGGGTTTGAAGGCTTGAGGCAATAGACACAAATGTGTCTAGTGTTGTCGCATCAACCATTCCTTTTGAAAGATTGTTTCAGTCCCTGATTGTCTTGGGCAGGAATGAGCAGCACCTATACTGGCTTCTTGCTGGTATGAGCCTGCATTGTCTGTCATGGCCTCGTCGCTGTCTATGGGGGAGAGGGACGAGTTTCTGTTTAATACTGTCTAGGACTGTCTATAGTACTGTACTGTGGACTGTAGGCCTATGCCTATTGTTTAAAGTTTAAAGTCGCCAGGCAGGCTTTGTTTGAGTTTGGCATAGGACTATAGGACTAGGACTGTCTGTACTGTAGCTCATTATAAATATCTAGTATTATTGCTTAAAGTCAAGGCCAGTTATGTCTAGTCTATGTTTTAGAATACGAGAAGTATACTTTTTTTTGTAACACTTAGACTTAGACCTTTCAGACTATCGAATATGTTCTCAAAATACCCGGACAAGGTGTAGGCTAATAAAACTGCACCCGGTTAAGCCCTAGTTATAAATAATTAATTAAATTAACTGATTTGTTGGCCTGTTGCTGATTTTGTTATTAACCCATTATATTGTAAACATTATTCAGATAAGTAGAACTATTATTCACATGATTCACACTAGTAGATCTAATTTAGAGTGAATTTTTCACAATTTATTATGACTACATAAAGTAGGTATATCGATACCCTCTCGCTCATTCCGTTTGCGCAGGCCGAAAAATGACGCAAACCATTTAAAGCAATATGAAGCATTTGACTGGTCGGTGATGTCGTTTTTTTGCGTTTTTCATCACAGTTTTCAAATAATTATCATCAGTGACGTAGAACGCATGTTTTCCTAAGCTTTTGGCACCATTTTCGCCGCATGTTGGATTTTGTGACCGGCAGCGCATTTAATATTAGAGATTGGTATGTACTTATAATCTTATAACTTTTTAATGGGAAATATAAAATATATGCCACTATAAAGCAGAACTGCTTCATTTATTCCCAATTCTTAATAACTTTATTTCATTAATAATAGTAATTCCCCCTAAGAGTTATGAATTGTCCCGTGGAGGGTGTAAGAAAATTAAAATGTCAGTTGTAAAAAGTCATCTTTCCTCAAAAAAAAAAATGAGTTGTCAGAAATGGCTCTTTTATCATTTTGACTTAAACTTTTATTATATCTAAAGAGATGTTCGTTAATTGTTTATTTTATAAAACCTTGGCGTGAAACATTAATTAGCTTCAGTTTATGGATGGGAAACAGTTAAAGTTATTTTATAAGTAAAGCATGGCCGTGAGCATATAAATTATTGTATTAGTTTAATTAGTAATAGTGTTAGTATTAGTTTGATTAGTAATAGTTTTATATATCTTTTATGTAGAGTGTAGAGGCCAACTGCAAGCCTCTAGTCTACTATATTTATAATGAATAAATGTAGACTGTACTTTATCAGTATATAATTAATTAATAGTATAATTAATATATTATTATTATAAATGAATATATTATAGATTTAAAAAAAAATTTAATGTGAATTGTGAATGAATGAATGTGTAAATACAAATTAATTAATTATTAAGTTTTAGACTTAGACATAATTATAAAATGTTTATGTTTATCATATTCATATAAGATATTGTTAAAATTAATTATATTTTCCGTTCATTTGGCTCATTTGGCAGTTTCAAAGATTCTAAGAATGTCTACCGAAGATGAAACGTCCGAGTTTAATAATTTTGTGGCAAGCTTTGCTCAAGATGCTGCCAACAAAGTTTAATAGGAATGGGTATGCTGTCTTTCTCTGCACCAAGGGAACCAGCAAGAAAGAAGGCATGAAATATGCTGCATCTGAACTTGATGAGTGCTTCATGCAACAGGATAGTAGCT